GGCCCTGCCAGGGGCTTTGGAGAAAGCAGGGGTTTCCTGGGGGCAGGGGGGGTTACTTTCACATCAAATCATGAAATAATTCTCTTTGAAAAAATGTGTAACAAATGCCCCACAGAATTAGATAGATCACTGAAAATTGAAATTTGCAAAGCTTTGCTCAGGCCTTTTGATATCATGTTCTACCTTAAATCTCAGAGTTAAGAGTTATTCTTGCCAGGCTTCTGTTTTTGAAGTTCCTCAGCATGTTAAGCAGTGCATGGGGCCCCGCTGTAGCTCTTGATCAGGGAAATGGAGAAATGATTGTCGTTAACACAAAACTCAGGGCACTGGGATCAGCTTTCTGTCTGCCTGCAAAGCCAGCTCCTTCCAAGCTCCTCTGTCCCGTGGTTCTGCTCTCTGCTGAGGTGCAAGTCCAGGGAGTTTGATCCTAGGGTCCACGGACCCCCTCATGTGTTTGTGGAAGGAATTCGGGGCTTCTGTGAACTTGGATGGAGAAAAACGTATTTATGTTCACCAACCTCTAATCAAAATTTTAGCACTTCATTTTGAAAAGTAGCAACAAACCACAGTAATAGTATCAGTTCCTATTGTCATCGATAGAGATCAGGTATTTTCCTATCATAGTTGTTGCAGATATGTTGAAATAAAGTCTATGCTCGTGCTCATCCAAAATTGGTTCTTAAACCCACTGCTAGAACGTGTTTTATAAAGCCTTAATAAAGAAGCATACATATTACTATATTATAATTTTAAAAGTATTTTGATAATAGTATTTCAATATAACTGTAATCTTATGTATCGCAAGCATTTACAGATATTATTCTGAGGTGCCCATAGGCTTCATGAGAATGCCAAAGGGGTCCCCAGCACAACAGCGATTAAGAACCCCCAGCAGGACAAGAAGAGGTGGGATTGCTTAGGGCAGGGGCAACCAAGTCAAAGGAACAACACAGGACAAAGGGGCTGGGCTTTGATTCTGGCACAGGCATAGTTGGATATGGCAAGGAGGGGCCCAGCCTGAGTGCCAGGCAAACCAGAGAGGTCCACAATAGCCTAGTAGGGCGCCCACTCTTGGCAGTACTAGAAAGCACAATCAAGGGATTGTGCCCCACCCTTTAGAGAACCTGGGGTCACTCTTTGAAGCTCTGACTTGGATTTTGGTCAGATCCAAAAACCATTTCGTTTAATCCTGCCTCCATCACTCACTTTGGACAACTTACCTAATCATGAACCTCGGTGTCTCCATCTGTAAAATAGTGATAATGTTTGCCCAAACATTTTGTTAAATAATTTACTTGTAAATATAATGTTGAACAAAGAAAGCAAGTTACAGGATGATAGATATTCCATTTATGAAAAATGTTGTGATGCAAAACAATGTTATATGATGTTTATAGGTAAAGACTTATGTAGTCAAGCAGAAAATCATGCATGAGAATGATAAATACCAAATTCAATTTCCTAGTGCTTACATCTGGGGAATGGAGGGAAATAGGTTTGGGAGGTGTACAGGTGAGGGGGAAAAAAATCAGAAACAAATACAAGATTTGATGAAGCTCAGTAGTGGGTTCTTTTTAAAGCTTTATTTAAGTGACCTATAATAAGCTGAACATATAAAAATACACAACTTGGTAAGTTTTCATATATGTGTATACGCATGAAACCATCACAATTAAGATAATGATCATATCTGCCACCCCCAAGTTCCACATACCCCTGTGTAATCTCTTCATCCTGCCTTTCCCTATTCCCTACTCTGAGGTGATCATTGATCTGTCACTATTGATTACCTTGAGTTCTCTAGAATTTTATATAATTGGAATCATACAGTATACTTTTTCTTTCTCATTTGGGTTCTTTCACTCAGCATAATTATTTTGAGATCCACTCATGTTGGCAGATATATTCATATTTCATTCCTTTTTACTACTGAGTATATCCCATCATATGGATACTCTAAAATTGGTATATCCATTCCCTTATTATTTATCATTTAGGTCACTTCCAGTTTGGGGCTATTAAAATAAACCTGCTGTGAACATTTGTGTGCAAGTCTTTGGGTGGACATACACTTTCATTTTTCTTGGGGGAATGGAAAGGCTAGGTTCTATAGTAGCTGTATGTTTGCTTTTCAAGAAACTGCCAAAGTATGTCCCATTTTGTACCACTGGAAAATGTACCATGTAACATTCCCATCAGCAATGAGAGTTCTAATTATTCCACATGCTTTCCAGCACTTGGTATGGTCAGTCTTCTTAATTTTAGCCATTCTAGTCGGTGTGTGGTCCTAGCTCACTGTGGTTTTAATTTACATTTCCCTAACAAATCAAGATATTGAGCATCTTTTCATGCACTTATTTGTCATCCATGTATCTTCTTGGGTGAAGTAGCTGTTCAAATATTTTGCCCATTTTTTATTCACTTATTAGTGAGTTGCAAACTTTTAAAGATCTATTTTAGATAGAAGTCTTCTGTCAGATACATGTTCTGCAACCATTGTCTCCCAGTCAGTGGCTTGATTTCTCATTTTCTGAATGGGGCTTTCTGAAGAGCAAAAAATATAAATGAATTCCAATTTATTGATTTTTTCCCATTTTTCATAGTTTTTCTGAACTACTTACCAAACTCAAACATACTAAAATCTTCTTTTGTGCTTTCTTCTATAAGTTTTATAGTTTAAGCCCTTCTATTTAGGTTTATGATTCATTTTGAATTGTTTTGTATATGGTTGAGGTAAGGGTCAATGTTCTTTTCTCTTTCTTTTTTGTACATGGTTGTCTAATTACTCCAGCATCTTTTGTTAAGCATTATACCCTCTCCCTTTGAAATGCTTTGTAATATTTATCAATTTACTAAATATATGTGGGTCTATTTCTAGATTCACTACTCTTTCCATTCAGATGTTTGCATATATTTATGAAAATACTGTGCTGTCTTGATTAGTAAAGCTCTATAATGTGCCCAACAAGGCCATAGTCTTATGCTTGTTTTATATATAATGTCCAGGGTTTTTAGTTGTACTTTGTGGGAGAACAAAGGGAAAGTAGATCTACTCCATCTTCTTGGAAGCAGAAGTCCTGATGCATTTTTAAAAGCTGGCCACTGGTTCCACTTTCACAAAAAAGGTTTTCCTGTGAAATAAGGGCAGCTTCCCAATGTCCTTCAAAAGAAATGGAAAATATGTTTGCAGGAGGAGACAAGAGGATCAGCAAAGTTTAGACCATCCCAATCCACCTGCTGAGACATTATACCAGGGGCCAAAAGCTACTGCTAGAAATGCAAGATAGCGAGATGAGAATACTGGTGATTTCATCCCCTGCTGATATAGACCTAACTGTCTGGGGTCTAAATGGCTAAAATCTGCTCGTTCTTCTCTGCCTTCCCCTCAACTCCAACAACCATGCACATCTCCACTGTCCACAAACCTTTCCGACTCGATTCTCTTCTTTCAATGATTTCACCTCCTTTTCCCAGGCAGAATACATACAATGAACGTAGGTACCTCAACTTCCAGCACCAAACTTCCACTACCAACAGCTGCTGTGGCCATTTTGTGTAAGTAAGAATTCTTTCTTTCCTCACCCTCTCCTCAAAGCTCTTTACTATCATCTGCCCCCAAACAGTCATGGTTACTATTCAAAACTGGGATGACACTGCAGTCAATAGTGCTCCCTGGATTTGGGAAATGCACAACCTACTCAACATCATAGATCCTAATGACTCTACCTGTGCCCGCCCCCCTCCCACCCATGCTGTGTTCTTCCTCTTCATAAACTATTCTTGGGCACGGATCCATATGGTCATGAGCTGATCAACATTAAAAATCCCTGGCTCCTTCTCGTCAATATCTAAACAAACTTATGTTTCTCCAGTCTTTAAAAAAATAGTAATAACGTCTTCCTTCCAGTAGCCTTCTCATTTCCTCACAGGCAATTTCTTGGAAGATTTGTCTATGCTCATTTGTCTCCATTTTCTCACCACCACCCTCCCCTGCTCCTCAACTCACTCCAAGCTGGCCTCCTCCTACCATTCAATGAACCTGCTCTAGCTGATGGCAATGCCTGTTTAGGCCTGGCATTTCTGTCTTCGCCTCCCTAATTTCTCAAGAAGACTGATCCAGTTTACAACCCGAAGTGCTCTTCCCTTGCCTTCTGCAATGCCATATTCTCCTGGTTTTTCTCCTAAGGCTACCTGCTCCTCCTCGCCCTCTGCAAGTAGAGGAGCTCTTGGGGTCCGTCCTGGGCCTCTTTCGCAAATGGTATTCTCTCCACCAGGCAATATCCTCCATGCTCCTCTCCATTCTCATCCCCATCCACGAATCTAAGGCACAGACTTTCATTCGAGATCCAAACAGGCACATCCCACGGCCTGCTAAGCTTCTCCATTGGACGGTCCCGCAGGCTCAACATGTCTAAACCCACACTATTTCGCCCAATCTGCTTCTCCTGTGTTCCCTTCCATTATGTGGTTCCCTACCACACACCCTGCTGTCAGCCTAGAAGCCTGGGGGTCACCCAACTCTGCATATTTCACACACCCAATCCACCACCGCCTGCTTCCCAACTCTCTCTCCATCCCTCCCTCCTCTATGCACCATGCCGAGGCCCTAACCCAAGTAACCAAAGTCGAACAAGCCTCCGAAGATGCCCGAGACCAGCTGCGCCCACGTTCTAAGTGCTTCGTGCTCCGGAGGCCTCCTGCTTCCGTGTCCATCGCTAGGTTTGAACACTCAGGAGGGAGAGCGCCAGGTCGGTCCTGTTCACTGATTTCTGGCGCACCCTCAGTGCCAGGCACCAGTTAGGTCGGTAAATACTCGTTAGAACGACAGAACGACAGAAGGACAGGGAAAGACAAGGTTCACTCTCTCTGCTGGGCGGCTGGAGCTCGGAGGCCTGGGGGCCGCACTCTCCATCCGCCACACACAACATGGCGGCGAGTTAGACCTACGTCCCACTTCCGTTTCCTGTACGTCACTTCCTCTCCGGTTGCCCTGGAGCCCTTTGGAAGCTAAGAATACGGGGAGTCTCTGTTCTTTTTCCCTCCCAAATTCTTGCTTCTGCTGCAGCACAGTCTGACCGAACAGCTTCGAGGCTCTGCCGCCAGCGGCTTGTTGGTGACAGGGGGACCGCAGGGACGGCCTTCTGGGGTGTGTGCGCGGGAGGGGGCGTCTGGGGGAGCGAGGGACGGAGTGGGGGGAGGGGGCTGGGAGGTAGGTCAAGAAAGTTTATGTTGCAAGCCCACCCCCAAACCGGTTATTATTGGAAGTGGCAGATGGAGTGGACAGAGACGATGCTTAACAGCGAGGACTTCATCGCCATAAAATGTGTGCGCGGAGGGCCTTAGCAGCCAGAAAACCATTACTTCTTTAAGATTTCTGTATTAAGTGGGCCCAGCCACCACCTACACCTGCTGTTTGGTAACCTTTCCTCCTGTGTCTGGGGTCATGTCCAGCATGAGAAAGAAACTTGTTGGTTTTCATTAGTGGCAGGCACCATTCTTCACATTTCTCACCCTTTATTGAAAGGGCAGTGAAAACCCAAGTGCAGGAAGCACTTTTTTTTTTTAAGATTTTATTTATTTGACAGAGAGAGACAGCGAGAGAGGGAACACAAGCAGGGGGAGTGGGAGAGGGAGAAGCAGGCCTCCCGCGGAGCAGGGAGCCCGATGCGGGGCTCGATCCCAGGACCCCAGGACCATGACCTGAGCTGAAGGGAGACACTTAAGGACTGAGCCACCCAGGCGCCCCAGCAGGAAGCACTTTTAAAGGTCTGAAAAGGTTACAGGAGACCAGAGCCATTGGCATTTATTTATTTATTTATTTATTTATTTATTTATTTATTTTTGAGAAAGAGAGAGAATCTCAAGCAGGCTCCACACCCAGTGCAGAGCCTGACATGGGGTTCCATCTCAGGAACCCAAGATCATGACCTGAGCCTAAATCGAGTCAAATGTTTAACCGACTGAGCCACCCAGATGCCCTGACTTTTATTTTTTAAACAAAGATCTCTTTTATTTGAAGAAACTTAAGGATTTTGGCATCCTAGGATGTGCTGTGAGATTGAAAGCAGTAGAATTTTTGCCATAGATCAGAAGAGAGATGGTCACCAAATGAGTGTCCCCCGACTTGCAGACGAAGTGAGCACAGTCAAGATCTTCTTCAGCAACCACCTTGGCTTTGCAACAGGCTTCAGAGTTCACCTTTCTTCAACCCAGTCCTCACATCTCCACATTCAGTTTTGCTTAGTTGTTCATGTTTCTGGCCTGATCAGTTTTTGTTTTTGTTTCTGGCAGGTGCCGTGGAAGCCCCCAGGTAGCTGAGAAGTTGATGGAATCTTCTTACTGGTCCAACTTTCACTATTGCTTGTGTTAGAGTGTGAGGTAAAGGTGAGTAGACATTTCTCAGGTGCACTGTTTACTTAACAGCACGCTGCAACTTGACTTCTGAAAGTCAAGAGAAATAGGTTTGCACAATTGTTGTGTATGACATAGAAAGGATATGTCATCTGATAACAGGAACATAGCTTTTATGCTAATAAAATGCTTTTAAAATTAGTGTGCGGTTTTTGGTAATTAGCATATAATTTTAGTTACCAGTTGGTTCATAACAGACTAATTAGGTGCCCCCCCCCCCCGAGTCATTTATCTAAATGACTGTTCTGCTAAATTGTATTTGTGGGCATTGATCAGAGCTAATGGGAAAAAGAGATTAAGATGAAAATCATGGGATTAAATTTTTAATTAGTTTGCCCCCTGAACAGTTGTTTGGTGTGACACAGTGATTGATTGGCTATTTATGCCCACCCACCCTACTACCAAACTTCTGAACAGAAGAGTGTTTTACCAAAGACTGAATATTTTACTCAGTTATCTTTCTCTTTATTTCTGCTTAACAAGGAATTGAAAAGGAAGGCAATGTGTGGGGATCTCATAGTCCTTTGTCTGGTGGTACATATAAAGTATGAGATGAGGGCTTCAGTCAGTTCATTAATAAATATCTCAGACTTAATATGTCTAAAATAAAGCTATTTCCCAGCCCCAACCCCTTCTGCTCCCAGGGTTCTTATCTTGACCAGTGGCACCACCATGTATCCACGTGTTCAAGGCGCAAACCCAGGAGCAGTCTTGATTCCCTCTTTCTCTCATTCCCTACAGCTTGTCCATCAACAATTTCTTTCAACTTTTCTTCCAAAACATATCCAGAATCCACCCACCATTCTCATCTCCACCACCTTAACCCAAACACCATCATCCTTTACCTGGTGAACTGCAGCACCCTCTGATTCTGGTCTCCCTGTTTCTAATCTCATGACCCATTTCTACCCACGCCCCCGCCCCCCCCCCCCCCCACACACCATCCAGTCCATTCTCCACATGACAGCCAAAATGGTTGCTTAAAACATAGGTTAGATTCTATCACTTCTCTATCTGGAACCACCCAGCATCTTTCCACACTAGTTACCATGCCCTACAAGCCCCTGCATGATCTGGATTCATCTGGGACCACTCCCTACCCCTCCACTCGCTATGACCCAGCACAGTGTCTCTCTCTTCATCTGCCAAGTTTGGACCTGCCTATGGGCCCTTGCACTAGTTCTCTCCCCTTTGCCTGAAACTCTCTTCCTCCAGGTGTTTGCAGGGCTGGATCTCTCTTGTGTAGACCTAAGCTTAAAGGTGACCTCCTCTAATAGGCCCTTTCTTTACCACTTAAGCAACAGTGGGCTCCTATTACTCCTATTACACCATCCTAATTTGCTTTCACCACGACACTCCTCATTATTGCTGATTTCTTGTGTCTTTGTTTACTGATTATCTCCCCCTACTCCTGTATGAACTCCATGAAAGCAAAGCTCTTGTCTTGTGTGTAACTGTATCTTCGGAGCCCCATGAGTCTCCAATGCATGAATGAATGAATACACGAATGAATGGATTTCGTTGGCACCAAGATGATTACCATCTCATCTCAGGTACACTGAAGGAAGGCTGAGAAGGGTCAGGGGACCAAACAGCACATAGAATGGACCTTAAAACATGAGACTTGGGCAAGGATGCAGAATGGAGAGAGGCAGGAGAAATGTTTGGGGTGGGAGGTGAAGGGACAGTGAAGGTAAATGGAAATGATATCATGCAACTCTATAGATACATCCTAGAAATCCTAACCCTTGGGGGGCCTGGGTAGCTCAGTCGGTGGCGCGAGCCAAGCTACTCATGCTTTTTGACAAAGTCCAAGTATGGGGGATGATCTTGAAAACAGGAGACTCCACAGCTGGCTCCTGCTATTCTCTTTCATTTTGTTTATGGCAATCTTTATAATTGTGGGAATATTTCTGGGCTGGCTCCTGCTATTCTTTCTCATTTTATTTATGGCAATCTTTATAATTGTGGGAATATTTTTGGGGTTTCATGATAAAATGACTACTCATCTTAGTTACGCCTATCTAAGCAATCATAATGAAACTAATTCCACGAAGAATTAGTTTCTATAGAACAAAATAACAAGATGGTCACGCTCTGCTTAGCACCTTTCTCTTTGCGTACTGTTTTTTAGTTTTAGCGAAAGCCAATAAGCAGAAATCAATAAAGGTCATGTTAATCATTACAAAGGAAAAATGAAAGAAGGCTATGGCTGTAATCCAGAAAATGATCTAAGATTTGGAAAAACAAAAATATCCTAACATATAAGTAAAGTTCCTCCAAGGCTGTCAGGAGGAGATGCTTGCAACCTGACCCTGTGTCTGTGTCTCCTCATTCGCCGACGCCGTCCTTTCCTACGAGAGACCCACCCCGGCTGGAGCTGGACTCCGGCAAGTCGGTTAAGTTTCCAGCTCTTGGTTTCTGCTCAGGTTGTGATTTCAGGGTCGTGAGATCGAGCCCTGCATTGGGCTCTGTGCTGAACGTGGAGTCTACTTGAAATTCTCTCTCCCTTTTCTTCTGCCCCTCCTGCTTGTATGCTCTCTCTCTCTAAAATAAATAAATAAATCAATCTTTAAAAAGAAAAAGAAATCCTAATGCTTGCACAAGTATGCACCTGCATCCACATACACACAGTCTGGCTGAAGAACAGTGGCTCTCTCTGTTTGCTCTGTCCTGGAGTCTTACAGAACCCATTTCCCGGGTAGACGTGCTTGGGCTTCAGTGTCAGAAGAGTGTGATTCAGAAGTCTAGGTGGGGCCCACGTGTCTGCTGCTGGGTAATCCTTGTAGGCTGGTCTCATTCTTGGTCAGGACCATAAGGCTGGGTAAATACTAGCAGCTTGGAGAAGACAGCATGGCATCCTGCAGTGGTTGTGTTAAATCACCCAATGGGGTGAGCCTGAGCCCCAGTTTCCTTCAAATATAAAGTGAAAGCCTTACTTGGACTCCTGTGTAACTTTAAGACTCAAACTTAACTGAAACTGGGTATGTGGGATCCCCTCCTCCCTGAGGAGCAAGGGGCCTATTTTTTTACCTTGAACCTTGAACCTAAGGCCTACATCCCAATTTGGCAATTCCGCTTAAATGCCACATTTTGTCTAAAAAGCACTTTACCGTATTAGGCCACGCAATATTTATGTTGCTAGCCAGTGAAAATGTCAGGAGCACATTCTGCTGTGAAACCGTGCTGAGCAGGCTCAGACCTATTCTCTCACTCTAGGTTAAATTTCAGGGGCTGGGGTTGAAGGAGAAAAAGTAACTATACTATTGGTGCCCAAGCTTGAAAAGTTGGGGGGAAATGGAGCTTAGACTTTAATCCTCTCATAAATCTTCCTCACCCCCAATTGGTCGGTAAAATTCCTGGGACCGGCCTCCTCTTTTCCATGCACCCCTCGGCTGGCCCTTTTGTTAATCCTTTTCCCCCTTTGAGGCTGCCTTTGACTTTTTGAAAGACTGAAACGCAGGCTTTGTTGAGATCCATGCAGGGCCCCATGTTGCACACAGATTCCATGACCCCTCGTCTCCTCCAATCTGTGATAGCTCCTCATTATTTCCTTGTCCTTCACGACCTTGTCACTTTTAAAGAGGTCTGGTCAGCTATTTTGTAGACTGTCCTTTGATTTGGATTAGTCTGTTGTGTCCTCATGATTAGACTAAGGTTTTGAGGTTTCCACAAGGAAATCACACAAGTGATGCGTCCTCTTCAGGGTACCGTATCAGGTACCCTAGGGAATGCCGGTATGTTTTGTTTCTGGTGGTGTTAATCCTCACCACCTGGTCACGGTGGTGACTGTCAGGCTTTTCACTGTACAATGGAGAATTCCAGTTGTAATTCCTATATATCTGGGGGGAGATGTTGGGCGATTCCCTTGGCATTATTTGTAATGAGATATTCCTTCTAGGTGTACGTTGGGATGGAGGTGAGGGCAGGCGGTGCGTTTTGTTCAGCGTGTGTGCCGAGTCTAGATCGGAACTTGCCATGATTATGCTGCATGAAGTCAGAGCTAAAGAAGCCTGTGGCCCTAGCGAAAGAGCTGTGGCTGCCATCTCAATACACAGAAAGGAAAATGCGGTCTGACCTGTTCCTATTGTGTTTGGGGGCGGTGTATGTTGTTAATTAAACAGAGTCCTTTTCATTCACGGGTTCGTTCAGCAAATGTTTAGTATAGTTAGTAATAGTTAGTAATTAGTAAATACTAAATTAGTAAAGAGTTAGTAATTTAGTATAGTTCGTAATAAAAGGCTAACGTTTTTCAAGTGTCTGCAATTTTCCAGGCACTGTACTAGGCTCTGCCTTTCTTATCTCAGTTCAAACTCGCAACTCTTTAGAGTAGGTGGTATTGCCAGCTTTATAGGTAAGGATCCAGAGGTTTGAGGAAGCAACTTGCTCGAAGGCTACTGGGCCTTGAACCCAGGGCTGTCTAACTCAAAATTGTGTGCTCTTTCCCTGGCACCAAGCTTGCTGCCTTCCAACGTGCCAAGCGCTGTGATCAGTGCTGAGGATACAGAGTGTAAGATCCACGTTGGGGAAGAGCTCGTACTGTCTAGCACAGGAGGCCCCTGGGAGAGGCACGGAAGGCCTGGGGAAGAACCTTCACTCAGGGTGGGAGGGTGTCACCCTTTTGTTCCGCGTGGTAGTTCCTCAGCCTTGAGGACCACCAAGCTGGCTTTTCTCAGGGCTTTACTGAGTCAGGGTGGATTTGCCAGGTGGCCTTCAGCTACAGATAGTTAACCAGAGAAAGGACTTAATGCTGCCGGCTTGCTTGCTCTGCTTTTCGTTGGCCATTATTCGTCTCAGCCAGCCTATGAAGTGGTTATATTATGTCCACGTAGCTCGTGAGGAAACCAAGGCTCAACAGGGCTAAAGAAGACGCCCCATGTCACCAGCCAATAAGTGGCTGAACTGGAGTCTGATCCCAGATCCGACTGATTCCACAGTGTATTCCTGGTCTTCAGTACCCTTTGCTATCCCAG